ACCTTGGTAGAAGACCAGCTTCCAAAAGCAGGGTGTGGGCCGAAACCTGGTGGTGATGGTCTCAAAGCCTTGGCTTTGTAAGTCTTTCCCTTTCCAGACCATTTGAACCACATAGCGGGTGGTGCTGGGAGTGCGGAGTTGGTCTCGGTTGCGAAAACCACCGAAAGGAGGCAGCTCGCCCACTTTCTGCCCCGTGGGACAGCAAAGGGACCGGTGTGCCAATGTAAGGGACCCCTCTACAAGACCCTCCAAGACACCTCTCGAATTTGGCTGAATCAAACAATGTGGCCAAGCTCTCATGAACATAATCCTCAAAAAGGAATGCACACAAGTTGTTGAGCCCAGAATGGTGTTTTATGTCTCACATAAGTGATGGTCCAAAGTCTTTAGTCAAGTCTATGGTTCGTGACTAGTCTCTAGTCATGGGACTTTGGGTGAGTACTGGTGTGGGGCTCGTGTTCCCATGCGAATTAGGAATACTTACAAGATATTTTGATAAGGGGGATCAGTCACATGGAGATCCGTCACATGGACGGTATGGGCGAAAACGGAGGTGGTGCATCGTTTGAATTTCGCCCAGGGGCCTTTAGACTGTCAGCCATTCATGTAGATACGTCAGTCACATGTGCCATCGACTGTCAGCTACCAGTGTATCCGAGAGTTCGATATTCATCATGCCTTGGCAACTGTCCAGCTTCCAATTACAGCTCTACATTAGCTACAGTTTCTGGTTGGTTCACAATGTGATTTGTCCTTATGTCATCATGCTAGAAGAACACATTCCCAACACAGCTTCCCTAAGAAGTAGTCATAACCCTAGCATTCCAAGACCAATTATAAAATGCTTGTCCTAGTGTCCTAGTCCTGTTTGGCGGGTCTAAACATCTTATTTCTGTAAGAACCATTTAATCAATGGTGGTTGGAATCCTAGGTATAGTATGTTCCTTTTTGTCCGCAAATCCAACTCTTTAGTTAGAGGCTCCTGTCAAGGTGCGGTCGCTTGCCGGTGATGTGTTGTGGTTCTTCTTTGAGGGGTTTCCCCGAAACGGTCCCAAAAACATCAGGATGAATCATGTGGACTCTTGACTCTTGATGTCTTGACCTTTATACATGAAGAGGTTGTACAATCCATGTTGTTTTGGGTAGAAACAAGTGCATCGCTACTAGGAACAAGTGCCTTACTAGTAGTAACAAGAAGCGAACGTAGAAACAAGAGCTTGGGGTTTAGTCATCCAGCGTCGTCGTCTTTTTCTAAACGAAGGATCGATCTCACATGACCAAGGATCGCGGCTTCCACCGCAGCACCAGTGCCAATGTCTGATCACCAACGAGGCCGGCTCGGGCGTAAGGAAGATTGGGAAGACCGAAGTTGATTGATGAATTGTTGTGTGTGATCAACTTGTGATCCATCCCACTTGTTTGTTGTTTTTTGTTCTTTCAACTGACTAACTAATGTTCCCCCACGTGGCCTATATTTTAGAGGATACTTTTAAAGTGCTTTTTCTTTTTCGGCCATTCCCCTGACAACGTGCGAATGGTGCAGGTTGAGGAAGCATGTCGGGGCTAGACAATTCTTGTCCAAAACCATGGATGTACCATGGGGTTCTATGGGAGTTTCACGGTGGTGTGGCCTATTTGAACGTGGCGCCGATCGGAGTCGGCCCCCATCGGATGGGTTCGCCACCTCCACGATCTGCTAGAGGTGATCCAATCTTTGAGAGAACAGAGCCCACCAGTGGCGATGTGATGAGCAGAAAGTATCCACCAGTGGCGGGAAATCGCTCTGAAAAAAAACGTTGTTTTTCTAAGCATGTTGGCACTGTTTGCACATCGATATACTATATTTTAAGGGCACCCTGCCGGTGAAGGTGGGGTTAGAGGAATCTAGTACTTAGCAGGTGCTAGCCTATAGTATACGGAAACACGAGGAATCTTGGAGATCCATCCTGTGAAGAATCACCAGTCTGCCGAACTTGAACGCGGTTTAGTAGGAGCCTGGTCTTCACATGTATTCACTAAAAGGATCTGTTCTGGGTCTTCTTATATCATTATTCTGCTGGTTTTGAGTGATCATGGTTTCTTTGGCTTTGTGTCTCTCCGGCTTGTACAAGCCTTGGTATGCCAGACAGATGGAACCAAAAGGTCACCCTTCGCTTGTGATTCAGCAAGTCATCCAATTGGGATGTCGTTTTCTCATTTATTTTGCTCCACATGGTGTGTATATAAAATAGAGATCACGTCCAACATATATAATCCAACCGAACTGTTTCTTGATTTAGGAACAAAGCTCCAACAAAACACTTGTCTCGAACTAGAGCTGTTGTCTGGGACACCACGGTGATTCACGTGGTTTAAGAGAGTTGGTCCGTGAAGAGTCTCTGTTGTGACTCGGCGGGGAAAACAGGTAGAACCTGGTAGAATTGCAAAACAATGAGATGATGTGTTGATAGAACGTAATCTTGTAGTTTGATGTGTCCCCTCTACTACTGCCTGACGATGATGGCAATCCCATTTGACCATTGTCAGAGAATGTCAGAGAGCATAGAGGAATAGAATCTGTACGGAATGCTGGAAGCTTTCGAGCAGCAGGGATACTGTCTGGCCCCTGTTTGACCTGGCCTTGTTGCCCAGGGGCTCGGATAAGCACATGTCACATTTCACGTGAATACACTCCCAAATATGGGAGCTGGTGAACATTTATATACCTCAATCAGTGGATTGACTATCCCGCTGATGTTGCCGGTAGATGGGTTTACAAGGCACCATGACCCACATCAATGTAAAATGTCGTGAACTCGGAACTTGTGGCCAGCAATGTATGAGCAAATGGTTGGAGAGGTTATTTGCAAGACACCACAAAGCAAACGTTTCTGGCCCTTTTTTGGAGGCAAACTGGTGATGAAGCGCCCCCATTAACTTGATTCTCTAAGGCTTGTTCGTCCTCTTTCAGCTCATTCTTTAGTGTGTCAACCATTTGCTCACCTCATTTTCTTCCAATCAGCCGTCACTTCGGGCAACCGTGACAACGGCTTAGACATAAAAACAAATGTTATATGTGCAGAGATGTGCAGAGACGCTGCATAAGAAGTTGCACTTGGCAGAACTTGCCCCAACCGCATGTACATGGTATGCTTGCATTACGTTGGTTGTACTTTGGATTGCGCACCCTGGGCATCAGTTCAATATAGAATTGTCAAGGGTGGCAAGAAGCTCCTCAAAGAAGTCAGTCACAAAAGAGAAAGAAGCAGAAGAAGAACCGGTTCTAGGATGCTGCAGAGACATACAGCACCACTCCGAAAAGAGGTACTGCTTGTTTTGAGACCTTCTTGTGTTGCAGGACACCCCAATAATGGAACTGATTAATGTTTGGCACCTTCCAAGGCTTTCCTCCTTCCAAGGCTTCCCTCACCTTCCTAAGTCCAGAGAGCCTTCGAGCCGTCACCAGGTGGTTGTTCTCTCCCCCCTTTCGCCGTCGCGACGTGGGGGGCGACTTGGGGGTGAGCCACTGGGGAGGAAGATGAGCAACAGATGGGCCATCCGGAGGACCTCTTGTGATCTAAAAGTAAAATGGCTCCGGAGAATGAGCCAGTGGCAGGAAGGAGAAGAGATTGGATATGATTATATTCAAACAACGCGAGTCGAAGAACTGCCAACCAATCGATTTATACACAGATAACATTTTAAGATAGCAAAACCTCGAACACGGAACACCATGGCTCTTTTTGGAGCTTGTTTCGGGCCCAATGAATCATCGATCGACGGGTGTAAGATTTGTTTGTATATACACGTCCCAGGCACCTTCTTTAGCAGTGTCGGCAGTATCGGTGCTTTTCTGTGAATTTGAGCAAGTTGAACAATGCCGTTGAAGGTTCTCGCAGGTGTGTAAAAGGGGCGAGCAGTTTCGCACAGAAGTTCTTAGATGTGATGAGTCCTCCTATTTCTCCTTGCTACTGGACATCCTTGACTGCTAGAACATGAATTCGACTATGACTTACTGTGTTTCAACATGAACTATATCACTGTTGGACTGTTGGATCACCTGTCCTTGCCTCAGCAGCTGCTGCGATTTGGACTTGCCTTCTTAGCTCCAAGGGATTCTGAAACAATGGCTTGATGCCGCAACCATACGCAATTAAATGTGGTCTCTTTGATTGTAATCTAAAAACAAGATTTGGACTTTAACACCTCTTCAGACCCGGGGGATACTATATATAATGAGAGTGGACACTGCTTTTTCAGGCCAAACAGATTTGACCTCACTATCTTTTGATGGAAAGGCAACCTTAAATGCAATTCCCTGATTGGCCCTCAGATCTTCGCATCTGACTCACTTTCTGTTCGGTATATATGATGTTTTCTTTGGCCTCCAAGCTTACAAGACCTCGGTAGAAGAACTGATTAAACATCAATACGTTCCAGACCGAAGGACTGCATGTGGCCTGTGGCCTGGTACATTTACCTGCAGTGTCATGACGGGTTCGGGATAGGCTGCAAGTCATTGGGGACAGGCATGGAGAACTCTTGAACTGTTAAAACTCCCTGAACATCCTGATGTTTACTGGGAGGTGATCAACACAGTGAAACACAACTTGGACCATACCTCTATATATGAGATGGTACAATAGAAAGCCCAGCTGCCTTTTCTCCCAAATAAGCTTTTGGTGAGCACGGAAAAACAACCTCAACGAATGTCTCTACATGGCAGCCTTCCATTTCACTCGGATTGGCCCCTCTGCCGCACGTTTGGCCACCAAGGCAAACACAGGACCCGAGCGCGAGCGGGGTTGCAAAGAACACATGAGGTATTGTGCATGTGCGCGCGCGTGTGTTTGTGTTCAATTTGAAGAACACCCGCTGTGGAGATCCAGAGCTACATATACTCAGACACTCAGACAGACGGAAATCCAAGTCTGCATATCTTCATATCCTCCAAATCCATAAATTCATGGACTACACCGTCAACGCCTGCGCTCCGCGCTGACCGCGGTCCGGCCATGCAGGAGTACTACACCTTTGGAGAGTCGACCTGGGATTTGGTGCTGTTCATCGGCACTGGAGCACTAGGCGAAGCACCGAACTACAGCACACACCGTCCAACAACCGCAGGTTTTTGCATGCTGTTTGGTGAACAAAATCGGAGGGTAGAAGGGAGAGAACATGGGGTTCCAACTATTTGGAAGTCTTGTACCAGCTAGGACCTTTGCTAGACTATGAGGCTGGCTTGGAACATGAAGAGCTAAAGCCCGTCTTTAGAATTTTAGGGCTTTAGGATGATGCGGGAAATGGTGTTTCCGAACACCAACAATGAGAAACTCCTTGAGGAACTCCGGCGACCCACCAGTGGATCAGCATGCCCTGTGCGTAGCGCAGGGTTTTACGCAGTACGCCACTCACGAGGGTTTTCAGCGGCCAGTCTAAGCAAGATCGCAAAATTGGCCAGCCAGACTCTACGAGCTTAGAAGGCTCCTGCTGTCTGATCCAGAAACGTTTTCGGGGTAAGGAGGCGAATGTGCAGCAGAAAAGCGCGAAAAGGCCTCTTGCGGAACACCGGAATTGAACTCCGTTCCACAAGAGATATAGGTCCAGATTTGAAAAAGGAAGCTCAAAAAGACCCGCCTTCGCAGATGGAAGCAGCAAATCTCTACGCAAACTGGCTTTGGCCGCTGGCTTCGAACTAAAGATTAACATCCAAAGAGGAATTCATGTCAAACCACAGCAGGCAAAGCACAAATGAGTGGCCGTGCTCGCCGTGCTCGCCACCGGAGGTCCATTGGGTTCGCTCCAGACCTGCGTTTTGGCCATCGTCAATGTCCTCATGCCGCTTTGATGGCACGAACGTTTCGCCGTGGTCGTACCCAGCTGACGTCATGCGCTCGATCGGTCGGATGAACTTGTGACGTACGGTCGCCGTTTCGCGACGGTCACGACCTAAACGTGACCCCGGGTGGGCATTGGTCACTCCCCAGGTCTTTGGGTTTTTACAAAGCGGCAGTATTTCGGTGCTGTTGATGCTCAGGCTTTGTGGTGAAACACCCCTTAACGCCACTGGAAGTGATCGAGAAGCACTGGAAGTGATCGAGAAAACTGCAAGTGATCGAGGTCAAACACACACCGCTATCCGAGGCAGCAAAGATTGAGCCCTCTTAACCCAACACCTAGCACTTCCAAGGGTTGGTGCAATAGAGACCTACTACAAGTGTAAGGTAGTGAACTGGACAACCCTTGGAAGCAGCAGTGCTGGTATGTGCTGGCTGTGGACCATTGAAATTAGCCTTTGGGAAGTGCAATGTGCATGAGGAACAGGCTGTCCACAGCCCCACTTACCTTCCACGTTACAAGGAACATCAGTCCTTGATTTATTTGACAAACTAGGTAGTTGATCGCCATCCTTGCCGTGGGTTTTTGAGGGGGAACTAAAAACATGTAACTTACATTTAGGGCCCCCATTAATGTATGTTGGACCCCCCCCCCACGTTTTTGACCAAGGGTTTCCCCAGGGACTGACCAGTGGATACCTATTGGTTGAGCAAGGATTTCCCAAGAATTCATCGGTGCCCCAGAGTCCAGGGGGAGTGGGGAGGGTGTGCGAAAAATGTAGCTTACCATGTTGGCACTAAAATGTAACTTACCAAGTATGCACATGGTAACTTACATTTTTTGGTGGTCCCTGGCATGAAACATGTTTGTAGCATTTTCTAACTTGCTGATTGACCTCAGACCAGATCTGTCGGCTTCTAGAAATTATCCCGTGCTCACGTTTCTGCAAGACTGCGGAAGCAACATGAAACAACGAGATATACGAGAATTTGAGACACAAAATGTAAAGTTTGCCTGTTCTACGTCAATTTTGAGAATTGAAAGTTTACATTGTTTACGTCCATTTTCAAAAATGTAAGCTTACAAATCTGATGTGTCAAACCAGCACCCCCTAGGTTCAATGTAACTTACAGCACATTTTTGTAAGGTCCCCCCCTCCCTTAATAAGTAGCGATGGTAGTTTTAGTGCTGCTGGCCACAACCACAGAGGGCGGGTGCAAAGATGTATTTATCCTTCTTTAAGCTTTTGAATGATCGACCGCGGTTGTCCCTTCTCCCTGGTGCACTGGAGATACACCTGCACGGCCGAGGCAAGTGATCTTCGTGGGAATCGCCGTCTTTAACTTTTTGGACCCCGACATCACTGAGGAAAAGACCGTTCAGGAGAAGACATCTCCGAAGATCCGATGGCCCAACATGTTCGAGTTTGTCCAATGTCGTGGTGTTTTTTGCTTTCACCTATAGTGGCCCTAGGGATCCAGTCGTACCTTCTCAGGTACAGTGATGTGTTCGACACTCTCATCTATTTTTTGGGGGTCCAGTCGTACCTTCTGAGGTTCGGTACAACTGGATCCCTATAGGGTGGGTGAGCCTTGTTGACCCAGAATTTTTGTGCCAGATCCAGTTTCTGGGCCTGGAGCCGGTGCACTGGCGCGACGCTCGCGGCGTTTTTCGGTGAAGCGAAGCACCTAGCGAAGACGAGCTGAACATGGTTGGTTCTGGGGGGGTTCGATGTGTTGTTGTTGGTGTTGTAGTGGTGGTGGTTTCATGGTTGTTTGTTGGGCGCTTATCGTGGATGGGATAGGCTCATCCACAAAGATTTTGGGTGCTTACCTTGAGGGGTGTAAGGGACACCTGCGACTGAAATTGGAACGGTCATTGAGGCCAGACAACTGAGAGAAGGTGTCATAAGGCGCCATGTGGATTTGGGCAGTGACAACATTGCTTCAACATGTCGCTGCACGCATCCAATATGTCGCTGCAGGTCAAAAACTGAAAGTCAAAACTCGCGAGTTTCACCGTGTTCTTCTATACGCACGCCCCGTTTAGGACTATTAGACTATTAGTGCACTATACTCAGTGGCAGCCAGGTGACTACTAGTATATGCGCGCACAGCGGGCTTTAAAACTCATTGGATTGCAAAAGGGTTTAGATTTTAGATGTCTACTGTGTATTTGGATGTATTTGGAGATATTTGGGGTTGAACCAATTTAGTATTAAGCTTGCCGTTCAATCAGCAGCCAAGAACAGCTGGTGTCATGATTGAATTGGCATAATCAAGAAGACCAGAAATCCGTTCTACGTTGTTTTTGGAGGCCCTTGAAACTTGTGCCATCCCAGATGTCCCAATATTGGGGAGGTCAGTGGTTGCTGCTACAATCTGCTACAGTTCTTTCCTGGCAAAGCTTCATCCCTTGCCCTCCCTGAAATCATCATGGAAGTGGGAAATGGCTTTTCAAGTGGCTCCAGAATTTAAACGAATGACATAGGATGACCCAGTGGGAACTTGATTTTCAAGTGGCCCCCCGGAATTGTACGAATGACGACCCATGGGACCCATCCTCTACAGCTTTGGCCTTTGCCCCTTTGGAGGAGGCGCACTTCTGGCGGCGATCCTCAGGACGGCGGGGGAGCGGTTCGGAGGATGGGTGGTTTGGGGGGGGATCACCCGATTCTGGGCCACAGAAAGAGCTGGTTCTCACGATTCTTCATGTGTTTTGTTTGCTTCTGGTAGTAGAGGAATTTGGTATGGTGCACCATACCCAGAGTCTCAAATTTGAGGATGGCTCTGGGGCTCTTTGGGGCGGTGGCTAGGTGGTGGTGGTGGTCATGCATAGGAAACACTGAGTAATTTTGAAGGAAGATCCTCCGACATGCTCGTTTCTCAAGGCCAGAGCGTGAAAATGAAGTTGAGAAGGTTTTTGAGGTCAAATGACAACGTGTTCTAGCTGCTTGGCGGGTTACTCGCCAAAGTGCTCTAGAAAATGAACCAAGTGGAACCTGACCCCATACAAAGAGATTCTCGTGCATGTTGTCACTGTAATTCATTTACTGCCTGGGTTCCACTGGGTTCAACAGGGCCAAATTCTCGCTGTCCATGCTGACCACTTGCCTGCCACTGTTTCAGGACACTCCATCTCTGAGTATGACTCAGTGTCGAAGGCAGGTCTTGTGGAAACGAAGGATGGTGAGCGAAGGATTTGTTTTCAGTTCGCATGAACACAGCTAGTGGTTTGGGCATCCTGGTTGAGTGCTTTTGTTCGGAAGGCGTTTGAGAACTATGGTTGCGGTGTCGGAGCTGTGTATACTGTGTATCGGTGTGTACTGTGTATCGTTGTGTATTGTGCACTGGGCATAGAATATACACCAATTTAGCATGTCTACTGACTAACTAAATTGATTAAATTAGTATATCTTGTTGCACCAAATAGACTCTGCCAGATATCCCACAAGTCTTCCTTGTTTGGAACCTACCTCTGAGGTATGGCCCAGGTCCTCTTTCTTCGTGCCAGGAATCCTTGACCTCGAGGGTGTGCGCAGTGGACAAGTCGTTGCACATCGCGGGTTTGCAGGTGGACATGGTCGAGAACATCCGCCCCTCGAAGGGGTGAGAAACCTGGAGAGGAGGTGCAAGAAAACAGTGATACGATTGGAGCATCTGGGAGCCAGGTTACTCAATGGAACATGGAAAAGGGATTCAGTTCATCAGTTGCATGATGTGGATTTCTTGTTTGAAGGACTTCATGAGAATATTTAGATTTGGATCTCATGTTCCCCATGCTTCCCCTTTCCATGTTCCCAGGCCGCAACGACACCCCCCTGGGCCCTGCGAAGCTGAGCTCGAAGCTGAGGAAAATATCTCAACACCAACCAGACCGGCCGCTCCACTCAGAAGCGGCTCCCGTCACGGGGATCGTGGTTTTCGGGAGAGAAGGCAAGGCCTAGTCCGGAAGGTACAAGGGCGAGTCCGGAAGGAGGTTTTTACACTGCAGGTGCGCAGGGGAGCCACTGTGGTTGTTGGCGCTGTGTTTCGCTGCTTTGAACCTAGCTCAACCTTCAGTAGATTGCAGACTTTCATATGTCGGCCATTCTTTCTTCCCGCAATGGACTGGTTGCATGACACCTTGCTGATGTGGCCAATCACTTTCGATTGAATGTAGCCTCTCCCTTGTCCGTGGTTTAGGCTCCATATTATGAGTCTAGACACTTGAAAGGACTATGGAACGACCAATATATAATTGATTTC